TTTAAATATGGGGATAATGATGCACATTTTCAGACGGTCTCTCCTGGGAGAGACTCGTAGTGTTGCACTCAGTTCACATTAAAAGTGACGGAAATAGTTGTGACAAGAATGAGAAAAGAGCGAGAGAGAGTTCAAACCCTGGCTCCTTTCTCACCTCCACCCAGCTGAACGATCATGGTGGAAAGTGGGGTTGCAGTTTGGAGGAAGCATACAACTGTGAGTGACACACAAAACAGAAAGTCGTTGGACTCTAATGGCTCTAATGTCGGACAGAAATTTTGTCCGGCATTAGAAATTTTGGATGGAAATGAAAATTAGGTTAACGTCAAAACCCGACATTGGCTAACTGACATTGTGATGTTTAACAGACGTTTAGACCTCATCTCCTCTGCTCTCTCCTCCTGTTCTCTTTTCCTCTCTCCTGTCCTGGTTGTAAAAAGGATGCAGTCAGCATACGCAAACAAAAATCTAACCAAATCTCCCATTTTTTGATGTGATGATTAGATCAGGAACACATCTTTTTTTAATCAGTTCATTTTATACTTAAAGAAGACTTAACCATTCATTTCAACACACCAACCAATATAAGATTATACAAAAGTAAACCATCATGCAGTGTTTCATCCCATAGGGGTTAAATAGTCATCAGTGCTCATGATTCCATATGGACTGACAGTCACAGCAGCACTGTCAGCAGCACTAGAATAGATGCCAGCTACAGGCTGATACTCCTTGCAGCAGCAGATGTACATCAATCAGCATTCTAATGCTATTTATTACTTACTGCAGAGTAAACAGTGGATCCTGCGCTCTCTCCATCTGATAACATCTATCTTTACAGCCTCATCCTTTGCTCTGTTGTGCTTGTTGCTCTTTCAAATTCTCTCTCTTTTTCCCTCTCTCGTATTTTATCCATGAACATTGTCGGTCTATTGTTGGCCCATCTTCCCTGTGTTTTTCCATCCCCAAAATCTTCATTCTTCTAGCTGTATCTCCTCTTCTCTCCTGGTCGTTGTTGTGTTGTGTGCAAATATATTCTATTTTTATTGGGGAGGAAACATCAGAGTGTGGCGTCTTGACTTCAGTTGAGCGAATGAGTCAATCACTTTGTCATCATCAAGGCCACAAACCAGCTCTCTCTCAGATCATTGAGCCTCTCCTGACCTGTGATGCATCTGAACCAAGCATGGAGCCGGCAGAGAGCACTAAATGATCTCTCACAGCTGCAGCTACTGACTGGGATGGTAAGGGCCACCTGTAAGATTGCCTTCAATGATAGAAGCATCATGGCATCAAGGAGCTTGAACACACTCAGAATGTCTGGGATGGCATTGGCCCCCACCCTGCTCAAAAAGCTTTTCGCCACCAAGACCTCTTCTTGGACTAGTTGGATGTTTCAGACGAAGGTTTCAGCAGCCGGGTGACATGCTTGGATGCCAATCATGACCTCTCTCCCAACACTAGAAAAACAAGTCTCCAGCTCATTGGTCGGGGTAGAAATGCCTCTGCTTGAGATGTTCTGAATCATTGAGCAGGTCTGAGCCTGACCCACATGACACCTCCACAACAAAGTCTTCCATCCTCTTCTGTGTCCTTCTCGCACTGAGAGAGGGCTCCTGGATGTTGCTCTCCTCACATATTGTCTTTGTCATGGCATATTTGTCTTCTGTTCAGTTCACCGGCTGACCGGACAGCACTTTTATAGTGCGCCGCCTGTGCACTTTCTTTCTGGAGAACTCTGTGAAACCCTTCAGTGATGCCAAGCAACTTTTTGAACAAGACCAGCAGGTGGACCACAGGGAGTTTGGATCATTTTGAATGAAGACCTAGTGCTGTTGATGTTTTGATCATCTAAAGGGATTTCATGACTGTAGCAAAATTCTTCAGCAGTGCATCAACAGAGCACAACTGACACTGACCATGTGGTGTTTGATATTTGTACAAGCTCTCCCTGCTCAATGTGGAGCTCTTTCTGAATGGCAGCAAACTGGTTGTGGTTGACTAGACACTAAAAAATGCATAGAGGTGGTCAAGCAGATCAGACACAAGCACATTCAGGAATGGCATTGCAGGTGTGGCAAAGGACCGAGTTGAGGTCATGTGCATAGCAATGCACATAGACAGTCTCTGGATATTTTTCTCTGAAACGAGCTTGCACCCCTCGAACAGATCCACTCATCACTGCTGCACCATCATATGTTTGGGCCACAACTTTCAGGTCAGCAATGTCGTTGGACACAAGAACCTGCTCGACTGCATTTGTAATTACCTTTGCACCATAGCCACACATGGAAACCTCCTACCACACACACATACAGCGAGTTGTTCTGTGTGCCCATCCATGGCTTTGTTTACCATTACCGCATACATCTTTTATTCCTTTATTTCTTGAATTATCTGCGCTGTGACCTCTGTGAGCAACGTCTGTATGTGCATCTTGTAGTATTGGCAAGACTTTTGTATTTCTGCAGGAAAAGGTCAAACTTTTGCAGCAGCTGCATACATTCAAGGAAGTTCCCTTGTTTGAGACTGTCATCCATTTCACTGTGGCCACAGAAAGAAATGCCGTTTGGGCAGAAACTGAAACAATGTGTCGGAGATACTCCCTTCTTTCACTTATCTCGGCTACACTGGAACAAAGGATCCACCTGCTGGAGTCTTCGTTGCCTAGGAAAAGAAGGATGCGTTTCTCTGCAGCATTTGAAGGAGCCTTAGAAATGGGACAGCCAAGTCACGCCGCTCTGACACAACCGGTCTACAAATGCCACCTCCAAAGGTTGTGAGACACAGCTAAAATTGGCAGGAGCTACTTATTATTCAAGAAATAACTCAACTTTAATACACAATTAGTACTGCTAATTTAAATCTAACAGACAGCACAACACACCAAGTAGAAAATATTTCCCTTGGTATTTTTAAGTTGTGTTTTTATTTCCTGAGCAGTAATTGTCACTCCAACAGTTACAGCGTTTGTATTCAAGGCTACACTAAAACATTTTAGTCTGCTTGCTGGCATTCATAAGTAGACATTCCCAGTGTGAACAAACTCAGATAGTACATAGTGTGAAAATCATGTCATTTATATGTAGATAAAGTCCTTTAAATCCTGACCTTTTTGGCTTGTGTCCACCTCAGAATTAATCAATTTGTGGTCCCTCATCACAAGTTAGAGCTTTAGTTGTAAGTCGTTCAAGCGAAAATGTGATTTTTCTTTTAAAGATTCTTTGGTTTTGCTTTGTATGATTTTCACAGACACATGGAGGCGAAAGTAAAAGAATTTCTCCACCAAAATTAGACAATAGCAATTATAAATTCATGACTCACACTCGAGAGTCCAACCACTGCAAACTAACACAGTGGCCTGAGGCCTTTCACCAGATAAATTACAGTCTAATCCCAGTGATCATTAGGCTTCCCATCGCAGACATGGATCAATACACTGAACTGCAGTGTCATGGATCCATCACTGTTTGAAAAGCACGCTTCAGTCTCTTTGAACTACTATTAACAACCACTTTTTATTCACCACAGGAGAAAAATCACAAGGTTGCTGCAACTTCAAGTGAGCAATGCGCCAGATGTCACACACGCCTTTTCATTCACTGCTGCTGCTGCAGCTGCTGCTGCAACTGTAAACACACGTTCATTGTAAACCATCGATTTAAATCTCAGGCACTCACTGCTGCACGTTTCACCGGGTACATGCTGTGCTTAGCTTTCCACCTCCCCTCATGCTGCATTCAAGGATGTGGGGATCATGCGAAAAAACGACCAAACCTGTTTCAAATGAGGCTACAGTGCATCATGGAGGAAAATGTTTAAATTATGAGATTTGCAGTTAATGGAGTTTGTAGACAGGACTTTTAAACCTCTGGAGACAGGGTTGATCTTCTAAACTGTTCGTATTCCACAATCCTTTTTTTCTGCACGAACTCTGCCATCTTTTGTGTAAAGCTGCTAAAAAACAGTTTGAGGTTGTAAAAATATTGTTTCATGTTTATACAAACACAAACAGCAGAAAATGGAGGAAATAAATCTATACAGTTACAGTCTATTTACATATGTATGATTTTTATTCCAATTTTTTCATTAGAAATCTCACAGAAAATACTAATAATTGACTTTTTAAAACTTCTTTTAAAAAAATAATGGCCTACAGATATGTATTAGATTAAGTTTGAAGCCCTACATCAGCATTTTGTCTCTACATGACTATGTAAAAGTTATGTTAGTATAAATACATGTTCATCGTATTCATCAAAGACAGACTCCAGAGGGTTGTAAGGAAACATCTTCAGTCAACATCTGTTTTATTTTGAAAGATTTGTCATTTCAACCACAGCCCACATTGGAGCCAGGTTTTAGAAGTGAACTGAAGCTGCAGGTTGTGTTTTCGGTTTTCAGTCTTTACCGCTTGTCTGTTGTTATAAGCTCTGTGATTGGATGGTTCTTGCCGAAATGCACCTTGGGAGTCTAGTCTACCTGAGCCTGATACTGCATTTACAAGTAGGCTAATTTGGACTGATGATTGAACAATGCGAGTCGTTACGTTGTCTATGGAAAAAACTTGCAACTCTCTTACCTCTAATCTAAACCTAATTAACCGATCATCCAATACGATTACCAATAGCCATCTCAAGGTTTCCCATTCCTAAAACCAACCTACCAGTCTGATGAGCCAAGTACAGCTCCCCCGTTCTGCCCTTTAATTTCACATTAGCAAGCTGAAGTGTGTGAACACCTACAGTTCCTGAAGGCATCATCGTCGCAGAGGAGCGCACCGCCGCTCTGCGCTCTGATTGGACGTTAGAGGCGGTGGGCGGGTCCGCCGGCGGAGTGCGGAGACAATAGACAGCGGCTCCGAGGCGACTGAGCGGCGGACAGTCTGTGACGGACAGCGGCGGTGTGGACGGCGGAGGTCCCTGCCGAGGTGTCAGTGTCAGGCTCGGTGTTTCTCTGCACCGCTGAGGATTAAACAAACAACACACTTCAAAGATCTGCGACGTCTCCTCAGCTCGTTCAAGACTCAGGTGTTGTCTGGATGGACTGATATTGCATGCAGCGCATTTTCAAAGGTAAGATCAGGCTGGTGTTTTTTTTCCAGCTAAACCAATTAACTGCTAATTAAAATCTGGTTTATGTGTCCAGATGTGTTTTTATACATTTCCCCTCAGATTGTGTTGGAATTGTGTATTTTCTTGTGTATTTGTGATGCTGTGTTGCAAAGCATCACGCTAGTCTACTGTTGTGTTTAAAGCCATGAGGCTTTACACTGTTAATTATCCTCATTCAAACTCATGTTTGTTTTTTTTAATTGCAGCTGTAAATCATTTTAAATTCTCCCACACAATAAAAAAAAAAAGTTGCACCATGTGACTTGACTGAGCAGAACAATAGAGCTGCTTTGAAGCTATTGTGTCCCAGCTACACATATATAACCAGTCAATCTCTATTTCTGTTATTGGCATTTGTAATTGTATTGATCACACGTTTCTGCATTTGAACACATTTTGCACAAACACCCTCATGTGCACACACACTCCTGCACTGCCTGACTTCACATGTGCAGCAGATGTAATGGATGTAAAGCAGGCTTTGTGTCTGCAGAGCTGATTCACACTTCATGTCTTTGTGTTGCAGTTTGTGGCTCCGAGGCTGTAAACATTGTTACTGGCACTGACCTCAGCTCAGATACAGGATGATCAGTTATAGATACTTGAATTCAGCCTTAATGTTTTTTTATTAATGTGAATACCTACATCATGTGGGAAATGGCACAAGAAAGGCATCTGGAGTCTCAAATTGATCTGCAGAGCTCCTACTATCAGCTGTTTGGAGCTGAAGCGATTAGTCGATTTATTGATTTGTCATTGACAGAAAGGTAATTGGTATAATCAGTTTGTTGTTTCGGTCATTTCTCAAGCATTGACTGAATTTTGTGTAAACTGAATATGTTTCCGTTTTGGAGCCACCAATAGCAGATTCTCTCATTTGAGAAGCTGAAACTAAAGAATATTAAGAGCATTTCTTTTTTCTTTTTTTTTTGAAAAACGGCTGCAGCAATTAGTTGCTTAACAGAAAGATAATCAATAACCGTATTGATTATCTGTTAGTAGTTTTTAGTAATTTTTTTTAAGGTAAAAATTGTGGAAAAATTGCCAAAAATGATCTGGTTTCAGTTTTGTAAATGAAAAGATTGTGTTTTTCATCGTCACGTTCACTATTAACTGAAAATCTGTAGCTTTTTGAAATTTGTTTGGACAAAACGAGACATTTGAAGACGTCACTTGACGACCAACAAATGGTGGCGTCTTCATTTTGCCTGTTTTGTCCAGTGAACAGTTGAAACCCCAAAGACTTTCATTTTACTGTCAAAAAGCAGAAAATTTTCTGATTTGAGCTTCTTAAATGAGATGATTTGATGGTTTTAATTGTTACAATTCACTGTAAACTGAATATCTTTGGGTTTTGGACATTTATCTTGCGTCGCCTTCAGCTCTGGGAATTTTTGATGGGTGTTTTTTTCACTATTTTCTGACACAATTAGTTGATTAATCAACAAAACAATCAGCATTTTCAACAACAATAAGTTGCAGTCCTGTTTATTTGGGACATACAGCCTTGTCTTCTAGTACGATATCAGTAGCCATGAGTCTGCCGGGGACGGTGTTTTCTAACAATTAATGAGACTAACATTAGATTCTTAATGTATCTGATGAATGTGGCAGCGACAGTTTCACATGGCAGAACTGAGAAGCCTGTTTTGTGTGTTTCTGTCAGAAGATTAGGAGCTATTGCTTCAAAATTAAGTGTTTCAAGAGGCACATTTGCGAACAAAACAAGACATTTGAAGACGTCACTTTTGGTTCTGAGAAGTTTGTGTTTGCTTTTTTTTTTTTTTTTTTTTTTTTTTTTTTTTTTGAGAGTAAGATTAATTGATTCATCAGTGGATTAATGGATGGTAAAAATAATCATTAGTCACAGCCCTACAGCTGACCAAACCAAGATGTCTGTCTGGTTTTCTCGCTGCACTGATGCTCATGTAAACACAGCAGACAGAGGAAAGAGAGTGCCAGAAGAAGAAAGAGGGGCAGAGATTAAAGCGGACAAAAGGGAGTAACATTACCAACTGTAGTGTGGGGTTCACAGCAGCAGAAATGGGTTGCCATTACAGCAGTGGCCCAGTGATGTGCCGCTGAGCGTGCGGGCACAAAGCCCCAGTGTTTGAAGATGCTGTAGGCCGAGCCAGTTAAAGCAAGCCCGCTTTGATGTGCTCCACAGCTCCATGAGCTCTGTGGGAGCCGACCACTGGGCCCCGCCGGAGGACCGAGACTCGGGCCGCCGCACAGGGAGACACGTCCATACACGCACATGCAGTGGGAGTGTGAAGGCCTGAGCTTTTACTTCTACAAACATTTTAGGAGGAAAGAGCTGCTTGTGGGGCAGAAATAATCTGTGTTTCTCTATGGGCACAGTCAGAATAACATTTCACAGCACATGTTAGCTCACTGGCTCTGACGTGAATAGGTAAGAATGACAAAGGATGGAGCTAACAGGCCCACAAAGACCGGTGCAGGCGAGGAAGCCTGTTCACTTTCCATCCGCTGGACTGGTTTTTATTTGATTGGACCGGTAAAGATGGTTTGGTTCAGCTTGTGATCGTTTGTGCTGCAGATAGATTACAGTGAAACCCCCCCCCCCCCCCCGCTCTGATGATGGAGGCCGAGAGTTCACTGAGTTCAGCAGGCTCTGCTGGCACACACCAACTGCTAACTGATGACCGACAAAACCAAATGACATTTCAGTTCATTACCACTAGAGCGAAACTTGGAGCCATTTTATAGCAGTGTCTGTTTATGTTTTTCAAATATGTGAATGTCCTTGTAAAATTCAGCAGCATTTTGTTTGTGCATGATTAAAGATACGCAAAGATAAGGGCAGAGGTGAAGCCCAGGGTTGCAGTTATTTTCATTATCAGCTATTCTTCTGAGTATTGCTCTATTAATCATTCGTCTAAAAAATATTGAGATAATGCTCATAAACTCACAAGCTCCCAGAGACAAAGGTCATATAATACTATATCTTGTTCGAGCTTTATTCTGACCAGCCAACAGTGCTAAACCCAAGATATTCAGCTTCAATTGAATATGACAACGAAAAGCATAAAATCCTCACATTCAAGAAGCTGAAACTACAGAATGTTTGGCATCACTGTGAAACGTTAATCGTTTAATAGTTGCTGATTATTTTTCTGTCGAAGGACTAATCGTTTCAGCTCTAGTGAAGCCTAAAATATTCCACTGTGTTTTACAATGCTGTTTGTTTCTATTTAAGCACAACACAAACTCCACTGTCCTGGCAGGTCAACAGTTCAGGTAATTAAACAACCTGCCAGACTGGCACAACTCAGAATGCAATTCTGTTGAATCGCTGACTTTGACTTGCCTCTAATTTTTTACTGGAGCAACATTAACTACCGATTAATTTCATTTTCAATTTATTGTAGAAGGAAATACCACAGAATATCTTTGCTTTTCTGTTGGAAATGATGCAGCACGGTGTTAGGATTTCTTCTGCAGCTCAGACTCTGATGGGATGTGAGTGGAGGAGATGACAGGTCTTCATTTTAATACCGAGCTGCCGATCCTCCACCTAATAACAGAGTGAGACATGCACAGTCAGAGTTTGGAAGTCGAACAGCTCTGATTTCCTTCGTCTTCTCGTCATGTTGTGGACTCGCATGCAGTCCATCCTACTCTGCTGGTTTCAGACAGCGTTGTGCCGGAGGATGCAGATGTTGCAGGATGGCGTGAGCTACATTCATACTCATCCAGCCACACTTAACAATGCATGAATGGCTTCACAGGCATTAGTCTGTTCTACCAGTAAGCTGTTTGGCTTGTTAGCTCTGGACCTTTTTATGTTTGCATTAACACAGAAAGTCTTTCTAAGTCAAGGCTAAGGGTATCAGTGACGTTTTTGCCTCTGATAAAGATACAACAAATGAACAAGTCAAAACGTGGATTGTGACTGTCGCTGATAATATTATCACCCTCACTGAGGACTTTATGTTGTCACTACTCAGTTTGCTTGTTTGTGTGTTAGCAGGATATCTCAAAAATATGTTTATATATTTAATAACAGTTGTGAGAAGGACAGGCTATTTGCCAAAGCTAAGTGATAAGTCAATATTGTGAGACATTTTTCTTAAATACTACTGCACAAAAAATTGCCATGTCTATCCCATCATTGTGTTAATTACTAGGTGTCTATCATTCAGAGAGACTACAGGTTTTCAGGTATTTGGTTGTAAAGTTAAATACTGGACTTTGCGTTATGATCACCAAGATCTCCAAAGTGTAGCCCGAATACATGTACTAGATCTTAAGGCAGTCCATCCAATAGTTTTTAAAACATGTCAGTAAAAAAAGACAGATGTTCACCTCATGGTGGCACTAGAGGAAGTCAGGGGATAAGCGTTCATCCTCTGAAGATCGTAGATGTCTGTACTGAATTTCATGACAATCCATTCAGTAGTTGTTAAGAGTTCAGTCTGGACCCAGTGGTGGAGCCATGCTGCTAGCATGCCTAAAAACATGCTCTACAGTCCAAATATTGTAACAGGTATAAACAAAATACAACTAGTTAAAAATTTAAATAGCTCCTCTCTTTTTTTATGTTCTATCGGATAAATTATTCTTTAAGTCTAATTTAACAAGATAAAAGTTTACCTAGTATTTCTTCTCTCCTCTTTCTGGAACCTTCGGAGCTCTAAAGACTTTTGTTGGGAGCCAAATATGGCTTAAGATGGGAGCACTTGTTAAGTATTTTTCAGTTGGGTGACATATTGATTTAACATTACCAATGATTAATTGGGTGCTGATGTTTTACAAGTCGATGTTGGCCTGAACACAAATGAGGTGGCAGAAGCTGTTTTATTTTTCCTGCACCGCTAAGTGTGTGTGTGTGTGTGTGTGTGTGTGTGTGTGTGTGTGTGTGTGTGTGTGTGTGTGTGTGTTGTTTCATGTTTGCCAAGCAACACAGAGACCGTTACTCAGCACTTTTGTCGGGTTTG